ATTCCCTGAAGAAAGATTTTTAATTCACAACAATTTCTCCCCAATTCTTTCTTGTGAACATGTTGCAGAACGTTGGAAGAAAACAAGAGGGCTATAGATCATAAACAGAGGAACATAGAAAACAGAGCGTGTTAGAAGGGTCTTCCTGGGCTATTTAGTCTGACCTCACCCAGCCCCCCAGTTTCAGCTGGCTGCTCTCATAACATACCCACTGGGCATTCATTCTGCAATTAAAAAGTGCTGGCCTATTAATGTAGCCGACAGAAGGGTCGGGCATTGGAGTTGCACGTCCAGAACATGGACAGGTTGCTTTCCTGAGCTGAATGAGCAATGCAGAGCCCCCGGCTTTCTCACCCACTAGTATTTGTGTCTTTATTTCATCCATCATGCCTCCATCTGCAAATGTATTGAGATGAACGCAGCTCATTGAAGATGCTCCAAAGGCTTCTGCATGTCATGCTTGCGAGTTATCCAACAGCTTGTTCAGCTGCTGATGACAGAGCTGTAAGTGACTCGTGCCTGGTATTTGCAGGAAGAAATGTTTTTGTACGTCTTCGTAGGAGCACTTCCTCAATGTGCGATTCTTGCACAGTAATACACGGCGGAGTCCTCAGGCTTCAGGTCACGCACTTGCAGGAACACCTGATTTTTGGAGGTGTCCCTCGAGATGGTGAGCCTGTTTGCCAGACCACCGGTGTAGAATGGAGCACCATTGATCCAAACATATGCAGCCCACTCCAGGCCCTTTCCTGGTCGCTGACGGACCCAATGAATGTCAGAGTGTGAGATGGAAACCCCAGACACTGCACAGGTCAGCTGAACAGTTTCTCCTGGCCTCCTCACTGCACCTCCAGACTCTGCGAGGGTAATCTGGGAAGAAACACCTGCATTCATGGAAAGAGGACACAAAGACAGAAAGATGAGAAACACAGAGGCAACAGACGGACTGTCCTCATACGAGAGAAACATGTAACGTTTAGCATAGTCAAGGAGGCTACTATTATTACATGCAGGGAAGATCATCAGAAAATTTATCAGGATCTTGGGTGCCATGACCCGATCTGACTTCAACAGCCTCCCAAGCTCCCTGGAAGAACCTGGAAACTCCAAGTGTGTTGAATTCTGTTTCCCACACAGGTCATTTCTGCTTCATGAAGGCTGCTCCTGAAGCTCATTTGCATAATACAAGAGGAGCGGAGACACCTTCTCAATCTTGTGTAGCACAAGTGGTCTGTGAAAAGGGCAACGTTGCCACAACGGTGTGTATTCTTTGGATGCGCAGAGGGGGAAGAGGATGGAAAAGACCTTTGATCCTCAGCTGGTTATATATGATTCGGTAACAGCAGCACTTAGAAAATACAGGTATTGGTGGTAAAACATGAGGGGTGGACTCATACCAGCTAGTATTATAGTACTATTACTCTGAGATTGTATTGAGATCCAAGTCCTTTTCTGCTCTGCTGAAGAATCCTGGCCAGCTGATGTAGCTTACTTGCAACCCTGGCACAAAACCCCTGGCAAGGAAGACAGGCTGAGAGGCGTGACAGCCCAAGCCACTGAGTCATCCAAAGGAACAGAGGCAACTGACCAGAGATAGTTGTCCCCCCTTTTCTTCTAGTCAGAAAACAGTACGGAATCAAGATACTTTCCGAGGCATGTCTTTTAAATGCACAAATATCTTTGTGTGTTTTGCAGTTTTGAGGTGGGATATCAAGGGGCCCTGAGAGGAAAGGAAAGGGAAGACTGAACGCCAATGCCAGCAATCTTTCTTCATGAGATAATGTTGGTAGGAAGGCCTGATGCTTTAGCAGGAAAAGTTGGTTTAATCATTACAGTAAATGAGGATGCTCGTCAAGAGGAGATATGGGGGCTCAAGGGGGCAGCAGGTCGAGGAAAGCACAGTGAAGTGCTTCCAATCACCCTGTGGCAAAGCTCGATTTATTTTTGGATGCTCAGAGGCTTCTTACTGCATTCATGAGAAAAGTGCAGAATGGAAGACTCCCTGTTAGAGAAAGTTTTGATTGCAACACCCAGAGGAGGCTTTCCTGGAGGAACTATGGCTGAAGTAAACTATCATGATGCTTTAGCCGTCCTGCCCAAAATGCAAAATATTCCCATATGGGACAAATTATTGTTTTGTTAAAGTGCCCCCAGTTACAGACTGGGTGCACCTTTGAGATATGAAACACATTTAAAGGTAGCAAGAGACATTAAATATCAGATATACAGTGGAGGATGATATGTGTATCCTCAGACAGATGGACAGACAGATCGTGATGATCAAACATATTGGTACCACAGCATGACTCATTTTCATTTCAGGCTTGCCATGTGGATGGAACAGAACATAACCATGACTTATTGAATGCTGAAGTGTCGTGACCTGTAAGTGCTCAGATTCCTCAATTCACTAGCAGAAGAATATATTAAGGGTGGACTTTATCAGCCTCTGAATGTGGTCTCCGCATTGGGAAGGGGAGAGAGGCCACCTGCTTCTGGTGGCACAGTCAGATTTCACTTTTCTTCTGCTTACAGTTGTGGTTGCAACTGCTAAGTCACTCCATTTGGAAGAAGCACGGGGCACGAGCGCCACCACCAGGATGCTCGCTGCTGGGATGCGATCACAAGGGGTTCCATTCACGAGCCCAGATTTGCATCCTTCCCTGGGCTTTGCCTGGCAAGGAATGGGGGTTGCGTCCTCATCCTTCAGGCTGGTCCTTTGCAGAGAGGAGGCGGAGTGGTCCTAGGAAACATAGAAACATAGAAAACAGAGCAAGTCAGAAGGGGTCTCCCGGGCTATCTTGTCTGACCTCCGGCACCAGCCGGCTCCGCTCACGACATGCCCACCACATGGACGTCCAGCCTATCCTTGAACACCTGCACCGATGGGGCCTCTACGACCTCTCATGGAAGCCCATTCCATACCCTCGGGGTCCAAATTGTCAGCAGGTTCTTCCTGGCATCCAAATTGAACCTTGGTTCCCTGAGCTTTACTCTGTTGGAGCACGTCCTGCATTCCTCTGCAGGGGAGAACAGGTCTCTACCCATCTACATGTTACATCCCCTCACATACCTGTATGTCGCCAACATATCCCCTCTGAGTCTCCTCTTCTCCAGGCTGAAGAGGCCCAGTTCCCTCAGTCTTGCCTCATACAGCATCCCCTGCAAACTGGCCACCAACCTTGCGGCCCTGCGCACTGACTCCAACCTGGCTATATCCTTTCTGTAATGAGGGGCCCAAAACTGAACACAATACTCCAGTTGCAGGCGCGCTAGAGTCATGTAGATTGGTAGTAATAGCTCTCTTGATCTAGAAGCCACACTTCTGGCTATGAAACCAAGGGTGGCCTTCGCCCTCTTGTCCACCGCATCACACTGCTGACTCATGTTCAGCCTGTAGTCAACTAGCACCCCAAGGTCCCTTTCACAAGTGCTGCTCTCCAGCCACTTATCACCTAACCTGAACTTATGACAGCTATTCCTATGCCCCAAGTGCAAGTCCTGTTGTCTTCTGCCTACTTCCATAGTCTGTCCAGATCCTTTTGGATCTGGAGTACCCACTCCTCTGTTGTGGCCACTGCTCCAGTTTTAGTTTCATCTGCGAATTTGATCAGTAGACTGTTCACTCCTTCTTCCATGTCGTTAATGAAAAGATTAAACTAGATCAGCCCCAGGACAGAACCCTGGGGGACCCCGCTTGTCACTGGCCGCCATCCCGATGATTCCCTGCTAATGGTTACCTTCTGGTTTCGGTCAGTCAACCATGCTCTAATCCATTGGACAGTGCTTTGGTGTATCCCAAAACTCCTCAGTTTCTCCACCAGGATATCATGGGACAATTTGACAAAGGCCTTGCTGTAATCCAGGTACACCACATCCACTGCATCCCCTCCATCTAGCCATCTCGAAACCTCGTCATAGAATTCCACAAGGTTTGTCTGGCAGGACCTGTTTTTGTGGAAGCCATGTTGTGTGGCTGTCAGCCTCCCTTCCCTGTCTAGCATCACTAGATCTCTCTCTATTATGAGCCTTTCCATTGTTTTTCCTACAATGGACTTAAGGCTAACTGGTCTATAATTCCCCATGTCCTTTCTACTATCCTTTTTGAAAATTGGGACCACTGATGCCACCCTCCGGTCCTCTGGAACTTCACACGTTCTCCACAAACTCTCAAAAATGGAGGCCAGTGGGCGTGAAAGAACCCCTGCCAACTCTCTAAGTACTCTCGGGTGTAACCCGTCAGGGCCTGGCGCCTTTGTAATGACTAATGCCCTGAGGAGCCCCTTGACTTCAAGGGAGGTGACTCTAATCAGTGCCCCTAAGTCCCCAGCCTCATCTAATCTCCTATGTGGATATCCCCCGTCCTGCTTTGGGGAGAAACAGAGGCAAAATAGTCATTTAGCATCTGTGCCTGTTCCCTCATATCAGTCACTGGATCTCCTTCCTCCTTATTTAATGGTCCCACCACTTGTCTCCCCTTCCACTTCCTATTTACATGCTGAAAGAAGCCCTTTTTGAATGCCCCTTATTTTTCCCCTATTAAAGGTACCATAGGCTTGGTCATTAAGGATGGCTTGGAGAACTCTGCCTTCTGAACATGTGCAGAACTCTGGAAGAAAAAGAGACTGGTAAATTTCAGAAACAGAGAATCATCTAAAATAGAGTGAATTAGAAGGATCCTGCTGTGCGGAACATGGATAGGTTGTATTCCTGAGTTGGGTGAGCAGCAAAGAGCCCCACAGTGTGCTACTCTCCAGAGTTCGTGTCTTTATTTCCCCCATCCCTCCTTTCTCTGCAAATCAATCATGAAATGAAGACGTCTATTTGAAAATGGTCCCAACAATTTTACATATTTTGTTTGTGAGTTATCTAACAGCGCGTTCAGCTGCTGAAAACAGAGTGCTGAGTGACTCATGCCTGGTATTTGAGGGAAGAAATGTTTTTGTACGTCTCCAGAGCAGCATTTCCTCACTGTGTCTCCTGCACAGTAATACACGGCGGAGTCCTCAGGCTTCAGGTCACGCACTTGCAGGAACACCTGGCCCTTGGAGGTGTCCCTCGAGATGGTGAGACGGTTCTTCAGGCCACTGTTATAGTTCAGATCACCATCGTACCAAACAACTCCAGTCCACTCCAGTCCCTTTCCTGGGGGCTGACGGACCCAGTGCACGTTAATGCTTGAGAGAGAACCCCCAGACACGGCACAGGTCAGCTGCAGGGTCTCTCCCGGCCTCTTCACTCCACCTCCAGACTCTGTGAGGGTGGTCTGGGAAGAAACACCTGCAATCATGGAAAAAGGACAAGAAAACATGAAGATGAGAAAATGCAGAGGCAGCCACTGAAGCGTTATAATCTTTGCTGTTACTTTTCTTACATGGAGGGAAGATCATCAGGAAACCGATCAGGAGCCTCAGTGCCATGACCTGATCTGACTTTGGGAGCCTCCAAACCTCTGGAACCACCTGGAGACTCTAAGTGTGTCGAATTTCGGTTCCTCCACAGGTCGTGTCTGCTTAATGAAGGTTCCTCCCGAAGGTCATTTGCATAATGCAGTCTGGTCTGCTGGTATAAGAGGAGAGCAGAGCCTCAGACTCCACGTATTGTCCTCTGCTGGGAACGCTCATTGCAAAATTGGGTTTTTCTGAAGACGTGTTCCTCAAACAAAGACCTCCTAAGGTTAACCAGATAAAATCAACCGTAAAATGCCTAGAAAATAAAGCTGGCTTCAACTCCTGCTAAGGACCCAGGTGAACTGCTTTTGGGTTGCTGTTGCAAAGCTAGTGAGCAACTACTGAAGAGTTTTGAGTCAAAGGAAGAGAAGGCATCCACTCAGAAGGACGTGCCTCATTTCATTTGAAATAATACATGAGGAACTTAAATGGGCCAGGATGCATGTCATTTAAATTAGAGTTAAGGGTGATAAGGATGCGTTTTGTGGACATGGGGAAGTATCAAGATGGAAAGGGAAAGAAGGCCCTTACCCTCCATGGCAGGTACTTGTCCAACTGGCCAAGATACCAGCAAGGGCTTATACCTGCAACCCGAAGATGGTTGAAACCATGATGCAGAATAAGGATGGTTCTCCAGGTAGGATTTGGGGGGAACAATGGAGCTGCAGAGGTGAGGACGCTAATGGGAAATTCTTTGGTGGCTGCCAAATTTGGATTTATTCCTAGGTTAGTAATTTGCCCCCAGAAAGTTGCTTGAGGTGTTCATGTGAAAGGGCAGCATTTAAGGACTTCTTTCTCAAAGCAAGCATTGAAAAGTAGCCTTTTACCAAAGGAGAGAGAGAAGCATCAGCCCATGGAAAGACTTAAATCCAAACTGGAAAGCTACTCTCTGTCCCTCCCTTCAGGAAAACTTTTGACACTACCCTCAGGGTGCCTTTTGTGGCTTGAGGACAAGATGGTGAGAATGCTGGAGATACTCTAATAGGACATTTTCCCCATTAGCTGCTTACTGGCTAAAGGACTGGGTCCCATATCTGTACCTCCTCCTATCCTGAGAACCCTTCTTCCCCTTCCAAAGAAGACCAGCTATCACGCTCTACCTGAGAAATCACACCAGGTAACCTTGAAACTTCAAAGTCCTCGCCTCCCACTGGCTCTTCCACCTCCTCTTCAGAATCCAATGTATCTATCTATTGGAACATCCTGAGACTTATACAGGATGGGATATAACACTTTTAGAAATTAAATAAAAAATCAATAAAATTATCTGAACAGGCTCCAGTGAGCAACAGACAAGCTTACTCTGTCTACATGAACTTCAATTAGGAACTTGGACTCTGGGCCGCCACAAAGCAAACTGGTATCCAGGAATCCAAAAGGAGGGAATCCAGCAGATTTTCTGCTCAAAACAGATTCCGGGCACAACCCCAATTAAAACCACGGAAAGTCAACACAAACACCACATTGGTTAACATTCAGATGACTGGTGATTTCTGGAGGACTCACTTTTCTGATAACTTGGGTGGTTCGAAAAAAGTCTTGCTCCACTTTGCCTTTTTCTTACTCAGCAATCTGGCTGACTTTGGCTTTAAAGTAAACATTCAATGTGAATCCGAAGAGAAGTGGAGTGGAAACCCTGAGAGGTTTGCAGATGGCAATTTCAGGAAGTGGAATATCCCACATCCTGTTTTCTCCAATGAACATTTCACCAAACTTAGAATGAGGGAAAGACTCTTTCAAATGTGGTCATGCTTTTCGTCACATGTATATATTCATTTTTTCTCTTTCAAGCCCTAACATTACATTACACATCTTTCAGAAGAATTATTGATTGGTTGATTGGTAAATACCTCCTCAGTTCTCAGAATTCCCGGGTTTCTTAACATGTCAATTAAGTAACAGACTAAGGTTACAGAAATTACACTTACATTATTAATTTACTACAATTATTTCTTACATTTGAATAAAAGCTGTCCATTAGCCTTATGCTATCTGGGAGACCAGTACAATAAAAATTGATAATAACATCCATAAAAGAATGCAATGAAAATATTGGAATAAATAGACAAATCAAACACAATGCATATTAACAAAATGTGTAATAATACTAATATATTATATTAAACCAAGGAATCACATGGTGTTCATTGGAGGTCTCCCATCCTAATTAACATTGCCAATTCATCTTGCAGAAAGTGTCTTTTGATTGTATCGGGAAATGGTCAACACCTTCAGCAGCTGACCGTGGAACAGCTTCCAAATGGAATTGCAAGACTAGTTACAAACACAGCAAACAAAACTCTCCCAAGCAGTCTAGCAGTGAAAGCAATGTGTCATACAACTGCATTATGTAAAAAAAGATCTATATTAACAAAATGCTTAATCATAATAATGCATTATATTAAGCTTTAAGGAACCACATGTTGCCCATTAGAGGTATCCCTTGCTAATTCACATTGCCAATTCATCTTGCAAAAGAGTGATCCGTAGCCACAGCCCCTGCACAAGTTCCGCAGCACTTGACTGCCAGCTTCTTGAATGGCAAGACGTGTGGTTTTCCCCACTGTGTGCCTTGCGCAATAGTACACGGCTGAGTCTTCGGCTTTCAAGTTGTTCAGTTGCATGTACGACGTGCTGATGGAGGTGTCCACAGAGATGGTGATGCGACCTTCAAGAGCCTTAGCATAGAGGGTTTCAAAATTATCAGTCCTGATTCTACCAACCCACTCCACTCCTTTCCCTGGTGCCTGCTTCACCCAATGCATTGCATGGTTAGTGAACGTATATCCAGAGGCTTTGCAGGTCAACCTCAGCGACTCTCCAGGCCTTTTGATTTCAGGACCAGACTGAGTGAGCTGGATTTGGGATCGGACCCCTGTGGATATAGAAACAGAAGAAGTGGTAGTTCCATTGCTTGGCTTCTCTATACTCCCTGCTTGGTTGAGGACATGGTTGGACAGCTGTTGGGGGCAGGGCTGGGTTCCCCCTTAGCCAGGATTTTCCCTGGATGACCTTGGACCAGTTGCTATGGGTTTCTGTGAGGATAACCTTGGGGGCATATTTGCTGCCTTGAACTCCTTGAAAAAAGAGAAAGACATAAAGCAAATGCATGAGGAAGGATATCAGCTAATGAACATGAGGGTTGGCTTCATTATTTCCTATTTCCAAAGATGTCAGGCATACTCTCATACCCCTCCTGCTAGCAGCTTCTGAGAAGAAAATACAAAGAAACAGAACAAGGGCAGAGACACAGGATGGACCTGATAGATCAGGGTACTATATTTCCCCTTCAGGGTTCAGAATTAGGGCTCCCATTTCCTTCTTGTGTCACAAGCATCTTTCTCATTGCTCTTCTCACTCTTCTGAAATACAAGTTCCAGCCCAACTTGGCCATTTGCAAAAGGTGGAAGCCTTGAGATCCTTTCCTACCTGCGAAGGTGGCCCCCCAGAGGAGAAGAGTTGCCCACAGAGATGGCATTCTCGTTTGCTCAAAGAAAGGACAATGGTCACTTGCTGGGGAAAGTTTAGATTTAAAGGCCTTTAGAACAGGAAATGCAAACATTCATTTTGCATATGGAGTGACATGCAGTTTTGATAAGATGGGAGATGAAAGAGCAGGTGATAATCTAGAGGGGAAGGAGACACACGCAGCAGAAGGCAAGTGGGGCTCACGCCTCTGGAGCCAATGTCATTTATGGCATTGACTGGATGCTTCACTCTTCCAGCTCTGTGATAGAGGGAAAGGCAGAACAAGGTGTCACCATTGTCTGATCCAACCCAGGTGAAAATATAGTTTTGCAAGGACCCCTGAGAATTACATGAAAAGCAAACACTCCAATGAAAGAATACCGATGCTTAAAAATAAATTTAGGTGTTTATCCATATCTCTTGAAAAATCATAATTTTAAAGGAAACAGCATTGTCTTTCATGCACACACACAAATGCACAACAGTGCAATTCAGCTCCAAAAAGATCTGGATTTATACACCCACGTATTGTATTCTAACTCAGGTTACATCGACGTTTTCAGACAAGTAGAAATGTAGAAAGTCTTTGCAAGTCTAAGCTAACAAAATAGGTTGAACTGATGTGTACACATGTGCACTCAAGTCATTGAACAACTGTCTATTTGCAGGAGTTCAGGGAATCTTTCCAACCAGCCTCCTCCCTAAAGGCAGGTAATTAAATTCATTTAAGGAGTCCAGATTAAGCTCAAACTTTCTCACTCTGCAATGCAGTGGAATTGGAAGAATTCAGAGTTCAGCTTCCGGCATTGTTGTTCCCTGACAAATGTCTTATCAAAGGGAATTGATTGGGGATGGCACCAAATCGAAGAATGATTTATGGGTGCATCAGTGTTGAACAATATGATCATGAGTGCAGATATTTCATTAAAAGAGAAGACTGTGATACATGTTTTAAACAGAAGATTTGCAGTGCGATTTGGAGACTGTCAGTCAGCTCCGTCTTTGCTGCCTGCCGCATCCCCAGGTTTTAGTCCAGTGATCAACCCTTCACGGATGTTCAAGAAGGGCTCATAACAACAGATGAGGAGTGGGAATGATTCACCCACCCCCTCCAACTTATCGCATTTCTTGGTCCCACATCATGGGGTGCAGCTACTTGTAGGCAAGGGGGAACTATACCAGTCCACACCTTTTGATTTCCTTGGGTGGCACAGGGTCACACAAACAACAGCGTGTGAGAAGATGGCTTGGGGGATCAGAACACAGCAGGTTTCCTGGACTTCTCTCCCTCTTCTTGGGCCCTCCTTCTCTGTGCCCCACTCACCAAACACAAAGCATGTCCGTGTGTCCACACTGTCTGCACACCAACTGAGGATGCAGAATTCCGTTTCCTTGCACGTGATTGTGGATTTTGTGTTTGTTGTGTAGATTGTGGATACTGGCTGCCCATTGCACACCGATGCCACAAGGGATCCTGAGCATTCCCAGAGTCAGTTTCAGCTTGGCTCACTCCCTGGCCATGGCTGAGATTGGAAAAGAAGGACAGGAAGTGCACGAGAGTTGCATTCCACCCA